AACTAAGATAGAAAACAGGAAAAAAAAAGTCAGTGAAACTTAAAACTTATTTTTGAAAAGATAAAAGCTAAACAATATATTGACAGATCCTTAGCTTAACTCGTTAACAAACAGTCAAAGACTTCAGAGAGAAGAAACAAGGAGAGGACGCATTACAGTTGGTACCACAGAAATAGAAAGGATCATAAGACACTACCAGGAACAACTATATACCAACAAACCAGATAACCTAGAAGAAATGATAAATTCCTAGAAACACACAACCTACCAAGACTAAATCATGAAGAAATAGCATAAGTCTGAACAGATCTGTGACTATTATGGGGATTAAATCTATAAAAAACAAAACAACAAACAAACAAGAAAACAGCTGATAAAAGCCCAGGACCAGGTGGCTTCATGGGTGGATTCTACCAAACATTTAAATAAGAATTAATGCCATTCCTTCTTAGACTCTTCCGTGACACCGAGAAGAAGAGACTACTGCTTCCTTTCCCGCCTGGATGCCCATCGTTTCCTTTTCTTGCCTAACTGCGCTGTCTAGAACCTCAGCACATTGTTAAATAGAAAGGGTGAGAGCAGGCTTCCTTGTCTGTGATCGCGGGGGAAGCTCTCAGTCTGTCACTGCTGAGTATGGTGTTAATTGTAGGTGTCTCATAAATGCTCTTTATCAGTTTAGGAAGTTCCTTCTATTCCTGTTACTTTCATTGTGAATTTTTGTAAGCATTAAAGGGTATCTCTTTTATCAAAAGCTTTTTCTGTGTTAATGATGTGATTGTGTGGTTTTGTCCTTAATTCTCTTAATATGGTATAGTACACTCATTGATTTTCTGATGTTAAGCTAACTTTGCATTTCTGGTCACGTTGGATGATAATTTTATATGTTGCTAGGTTCAGTTTGCTAGTGTTTTGTTGAAGATTTTTGAATCTATATTCATAAGGGATATTGGTCTGTAGTTTTCTTGTAATACCTTTGGTTTTGGATCGAGATTCTGCTAGTCTCCTAGGATGGGTTTAAAGTATTCCTTCCTCTTGTCTTTCTCTGAAGGAGTTTGTGAAGGACGGGTATTCTCTGAGTATTTGGTGTAAGTCATCTGAGCCTGGGCTTTTCTTTTAGGGAAGTCTTAAAATTATAACTTTTATCTCTTTACTTTTTATAGATATATTCAGAGTTTCTATTTCTTCTTCAGTCAGTTTCAGTAATTTGTGTCTTTAGGAATTCCATTTTAAGTCATCTAATTTGTTGGCATACAGTTTTCATAATATTCCCTTGTAATCATTTTGACTTCTGTAAATCAGTTCTGATGCAATCTGTCTCATTCTGATTTTAGTAATTTGAATCTGCTGGGTTTTTTTTTTCTTGGTCTGTCTAGCTAAAAGTATGTCAGGCTTATTTATATTATTGACTGTCCTTTAAATTTCCAAGATCTTTAACTTCTTCATATCCAGCTCTTTTTTTAACTTACTCGCATTATTGTTCATAAAGTCTTACTCTTTTGTTAAAGCTCTTTTCCTGTATCTTTTTGAACATCTTAAATTTATTTAAAAATAGTATAAATTTCATCAGGACTGAATTTTTCTCCCATTGGCTGATTCTGTTGACTGTCCTTAGCATTTGCTTTCTTTATGTACTTGTGAGTTTTGATTTGCAGGTGCACTGTGGGTGGGGGGACTTTGGTTTCTCACCTGTATGGGCCCACCATCCCCTGGCTCTTTGACTTTGTGGTTGTTTTCACCCACTTCCCTGGGGCCCACTTCTTGGTTGGGACCAGTGTTTGCTCGTCCTGCCTCCTGAGACTCGCAGCATTTGTGCCAGAAGCTCCCTTTGCTTCCATGTGTGACTGGTGGAGCCTCCTGCCACTGCTTGGCTTCCAGGGGCAAGCCTGGCTCCGGCTCCCATCTCCTGATGACCTGACAGCTCACACCTGCTCGGGGAGCTGGACTCCTGAGCCCCCTGCTTTCTCCTGCTCTAGAGCCTGGAGCCCAGTGGACTCAGGATTAGCTTCACTCACCACTTTGTTTCTCATTTGCTGCTGGTTTACAGAGGAGGTCAATTGGTGTGTATTTTAATGGCTTTGTTCTGTGTTTAAGGCCAAGGGATGTCTCAGAGCAAGAATATACCATTCCATCCTGGCAGGAAGTTTTGAGAGGGAATTTTTAGCAACTTAGCTGGTTCAAGTTAGGAGACCTCAGCAGGGAACAAACCTCTTAAGAGATACTGTTGAAAGTGTCTGTGTATATTAGCCACCAGATACTTTTGAGTGGAGTGTAAATTGTTAAATATTGGTCTAGAAAGAATTGAGACAGGTAGGCCTTAAAATAGACTTACCAGACTTATTACTGTGCTGATGTTCTCTGGGACCTTTATGTTTGGTACTGCTGCTGTAATTGTGTGTGTGTGTGTTTGTGAGAGAGAGAGAGAGAGACAGAGACAGAGACAGAGACATGCACGCAAGGAAAAGGATTATGGTTCTGATTATCTGATTTTATTATACCTGTGATGGTGACAGAAAGAATTCAAATTTGAAGATATATCTAGTAAAGTATCTGTGTGTAATATTTTGAATTCAGACAACCCTGAAGGCCCCCTTTAGACCCTGCATCTTGGGACTTCCTGTGCTGTGATCCTAAAGCGTCATGTCAGATATCTGAGTGCATAATCAGTACACGATTGTGGTTAATTCGTTAAGATTCCAAAATAGATAATAAAGGTGAAATTTTAAAAAATTACGAGAGTAGGTGGCTGCCCTGATGTAAGTAAAGAGCCAGTACAGATCAGCCCTGGAGGTGGGCTCTGTGACAGGGACTGTTGTCCCTTTCTTGCTCAGATCCTTGTGGCTGCAAGAGTTTGGCTATTGTCCCTCTGTGGTGACATCTCAGATGACTGAAGTTACAAGACAGTTGTGAAAGCTCAGCATAGTCTGGCATCTAAAGGAAGGGCTAGAGTTGTCCTGGGCACTTGTTTGTTGTGTAACCTTGGGCAGTGTTTCCTCATCTGTGAAATGGTGGTGACAATGGTAGAAAAAAAAAAAAGGAAAGAAAAAAGTTGCATTGTGCTAAATTTAATTAATAAGAATTAATGAAAGTCTATTTGTAGAGGAGTTCTGGCTGTGCCGGGTGTATGTGGGTCCTCAGGTCATGTTAGCTGTGACTGTCAACGCAGTCCCTTGGGGTAGGGAGCAACAATTCATGCAGAAGTTGTCAAAATGTGTGCAGTTGTAATTACTTATTAACTTATTCCAACACCTACTACTATATATTGCTGGTATTGAGCCTCAGCTGGATGAATACATTTTAGCCTGGTTACACCTTTGGAACAGTGGGAAATCAGTACAGTAATTGGATATATGTGTTGGATATTTTGGTGCTAAATTCACTTTAAATTGTATGCAGTGTCCTAGATGGAGCTAGGATGCTTCTCCACACAAATTTTCTGATCTATATTGGACATTCTCAGTCTCTCTGTCTCTCCTGGTGTTGTCCTGGGAACACCACATGAATTACCCACTGGTAATTCTTATTATATTTCTTGTTAATTTATGTATGTTTCTTACCCACACAGTGACCATATGATTTATTGTTTAAAGGGGAACATTCTGGGGAGTGAAAGGCAGCGCTGTTAATAATTACGCCAGGGTGGGAGGCGTAGGCAGAGCTGGCTGGGTTCTCCAGGGCGTGTGGCTTCTTCAGTTACCTCCCCCTCGAGAAGGTCTGATGGACCATCCTTATGTTCTGAAGGGCACCTGTGACTGTCCTGATAAGAGTAGGTGATCAATACTTACTTTTGAAAGAGTTACCAAATAGCAACTGGACGTATTTTAGCAACTGTGCATAATTTTTGTTGTTTATAGACTAATTTAAAGTCTTGACACTGTTCTTATGATTTCTAAGTAAGTCTGATTTCTCTGCTTAATCAGGAGGTCAGTAAGACAAGTGTTTGGGAATGTACAGATAGCCAGCTCTATTAACCACAAAGGGAAATCAAAATGATTAAGAGGATTAATTTGAAAAATCAGTGCACTGTTTCTTCACAGAAATACAAATCATTATATATACTCATCTGTTTTTTGTTTAAATCTGAAATACTATTTAGAAGTTTCTTTAATTAGAATCACTTAAAATAACCTTTTCTGCCGCAGCTAACAGTGTTAAAGGACGCTGGGGCCCAGCTCCCCCTGCAGCTGTTCACCCTTGCTTCTGTGATGTGTTTTGGAGTCTGACATTATTCTTCCTCGGCTCTACGTTTTTTTAAATTTTTTTTTTTATTTCTTCAAAGCTCAGCAGGGAGGCATATGGCTGACGTGACATTTGGTGCCCCTGGGAGTAGGCCAGTATCCTGGACAATCAAAATAATCCGGATATTGTGATACTGGGCCAAGGATATCTAGTTCATTTTATGTCAAAAGCAGTGTTCTCTTCGGTTGCTTAGAATGTGTCCTGTGAATTGACATTCGAAGGGATTCTGTAAAACCTCTGCTGTGTGTCAGCATGTCTACCACCTGTCTGTCTGTCCATCTATCATCTGTCTACAGATCCTCCATCTCCTTTGTATTGTGTTTCATGGGATTTGTATCTAATTCTTTTTTTTGGTCTGGCAGCAAAATCTTATATGGACTGTTTGGTACCTTTTATATTTTTGCTTTATTTCTAAGTCTAAAGGAAATTTAATTTTTACTTAATTGTATTTGGAAACATCTCCTCAGCATTAAAAAATTTCATTTTTTCCCCAATACATAATAATATAAATTCAGGCTTTCTTTCTTTTTTAAACAAACCAGAGCTAGTGAGATAATTACCAAGTATTAGCAAGACAGATCTCTGACAGCGAGACGATCCCCAGCAGCCTGGTGACTGCAGTTTGACCATCCGCGGGGTGTTGTTAGCCGCGGAGGACAGGCCCGCCTTGGCCCTGCTTGCCTGGTGCAGTGAGGCTTTGCTGAAGGCATCAGGTCTAAGCTGCTCATTTGCATAGTGTTCAGAGTATTGCCGGGAGCCAGGCATGATAAACTGTATCTACATCCTACAAAATGAATGCAATGTTATTGAATTTAGCAGGAAAGTGCTTGTCTTAAGGGCATAAATATTATCTGACTGGAAGCAGACGGTATGAGGAAGTGTTTTTTGTTTGTTTGGGGTTTTGGTTTTGTATACGAAGGAGAAAGGGGAAGGAGTTACTAAGTCTGAGAGCTTGCTTGTTCTGTTCGTGTAGCATTCTAAAAGGAACAGTGCGTGGATCGAGCACTAATATCCATTGGACTGGAGGCTTCTCTGTAACTGGGAGACGTGCTTCTGCAGTGCAGGGTAACAAATGCATGTGGGAGTCTGCTGTGAGCCAGGCACTACGGAGACAGCAGAAAACTGGGGTCAATTGTTCCCAGGCCTTGTCATCAGGATGCCCACAGCCTCACTAGGGAGACGTATCTGCAAATACAAACACGAGATGTCTGAAGCGTTGGATGCTGTGGGAGAGGTCAGCATGGGTATGATGCATTTTAGGGAAGATACACCTGGTCCCTTGGCAGCAGGCTGTGAGCAACGAAAGCTTTTCTCAAGGACACGAAGTCTCCTTTAGTTGAGTCGTGCAGGATGAGTAAGAATTAGAGAGGCTGCAAAGGAGGGGCAGTGTCCTGAGGCTATGGGATGAGCAAGGGCGCGTGGTGGAGAAGCTGTGTGCACGTCGTGCTCCAAGAACTCCAAGACCTGTGTGCAGACGGGCATGAGGCTGGAGGTGGTCCATTAATAAGAGTAGATGGAGAAGATGAATTCCAGGCGTGTTCCATAGGTTACACGCGGCACAGCCTGGTGACAGAGCATGCGGTGGATGTAAGGATGAAATGCTGGTCACTCCTCTGTCTCTGGCTTGGGCAAATCAGGGCTGTCATTGGCTCAAAAGGTGTATTTGTTTGAATTAGAAAAAGACATATTTTCTTCCTGGCAGATGGAAACCTTGTGGTGGGATGCGTGGCCTGTGTGCAGAGCCCAGGATAGATTTCAGCTTCCATTGGTCCCTTGTCTTGATGCTCTTGTGCAGTGCACAGTCAGAACAACTGTAACGGGCAGATGTGGGCAAATGGGTGGCCACTCATGTCATTAGTGTAAGTAGGAGGAGAGGGTAGAATTGGGAGGCAGTGAAGGGGGGTGATGAGCTCAGTGGTGAGTATGATCAGTTTGTAGTGTTTAGGGTCATTGTTCGGGTGGAAGTATAAAATAAGTTGATTCATGATTCCAAAACACTGGGGACTTTAGGTGATTTAGGTCTATTAAACTTTTCAAAAATTACATGTAAATTGTAGTTAAAATTATTCAAAATGAATGACCTTTTGAATTATAGCCAGTGGGACTTGTATAATACTAGTGGTTGATTCTCCAAAATGCTCCATCAAAAAACTAATTCCAGGTAACTTATTAAAGAATGTCTGCTACTGATTATTGATGTACCAAAGGACAGTCATGATGGACTGGATTGGGGAAAAGCTGCCTTACTTTCTCTGTTGCAGATTGCTGTGCTGTGCCTCGTGTGACTGGGCCTCTCACCAAGAGTACCTCTGCCTGACACTTGTGGAGGGTCAGACCATGTGAGTACGGAGCTGTATAGAGAAAGTGCATTGGTCCTAACTGGTTGGGTCAGCTAAGCAAAAAATCCAAAAATGTCATAGAGGTGGGACCTAAGGAAATACCTGGGTTTTTTTGTGATATAAATTTTAGAAGAGGTAGAAAACGCATCTTTTCCCCCCATTATTTTATTATTATACTAGGGGCTATAAAATCAACAGTGGAATTTTTATGTCAGTTTATTCATCAGTGTATTTATGGCAACCAATTAAAAAGTATAATTGAAAGTGTGGGGTTTTTGTTTGTTTTCATAATTCTAAAGGGGAAGAGACCCATCAACTTCAGTGTGGCACTATTTTGCAGAAAAACACTGCTAAGGAGTGCTCACATGGCCATGAAACAGCCCAGCAGGAAGAGGAAGCTTAATACGGATTCCAGAGAGCGTTTGGACCTGGATGGATGTTTGGTAAGGTGTGAGCTCCTGGACCCTTGCTCCTGGTCTGTGCTCACAGTGGGAGTTCACAGGGCAGTTGTGTACCTTGTACAAACACAGTAGACGTTTTTTTTCAATCACTCGAAACGGGTTGCTTCCGGGTGGGTTGTATGTATAGTAGGATAGAATATATGTACTGTTAAGTCTGGTACATTTTAAAAGGTTATCTTCATTTTAAAGGTGAAAGGGGGCCTTTTCTTTCAGAAAGATGGAGGTAATTGATCCTTATCAGGCAAGGAACAGATTGTGAACTGTAGAGGGTTGTATCTGCCAGGATCAGAACCAGTCGGAGTACTTGACAGCCTTGTCATAGTCTCTGTTCACAATCTCTGTCCCTACTTGATGGTGATGAATTATATGTATATATATGTATTAATCTAGAGATAGACATATTTTAAGGAATTGAGTGCTGCAGTCATGGGGACTGGCAAGTCTGAAGTCTCCAGGGCAGGTTGGCAGGCTGGGGACCCAGAAGAGAGTTGATGGTGCAGTCTTGAGTCCCGAGGCCGTTTGGAAGCAGATTCTGTCCTCTTGGGGTAGGTGAATCTTTTTTCTTACAAGGCCTTCAGCTGACTGGACAAGGCCCACCTCACTGTGGTGTGTAACCTGCTTTTCTCAGAGTCTACTCTCTGAATGTTAATCACACCTAGGAAATCCCTCATCATAACGTCTTGGCGGCCAGAAGGTGTAAATTGCATCACACCTCCAGTTCCCTGTGCTGTTTCCTTATGACAGCTGCTTGTATCCCTTCCTACAAGTGGCAGGGTGGGTGGACGTGACCGGGAGACCTTCGTGGTGACTGTTCTGGGGATGGTAGGCCGTTAGCGTGTGCTCATCATTTCCTTGCATGTGGGTTTTGGGGTCTCCATGTGGGTTGTGGTTATGCATTTACACGTCATGCAGTCAGTGAAGTGACTCAGTGTCACACAGCCTTTGCTTTGATGCCAAATGAGCTGTGTTTTTGATGCCCCCGGGCACCACGTGGGACTGGAAGCGATGATCTGGCCTGAGGCTAGTTTCAAGGTGTTAAATACAGGCCTGTGTCAAGTGTTTAGCGCTGTTTCCGCCGCATCAGCCCCGCTGAAAGTGGGTGGTTCATGTGGGGCTGAGGCCCCATCCCTGGAGGTCTAAGTTGGTTTCATCTCATAGACCATTTCCATGAGCAGGGAGGGCTCTGAGTGTATCTTGGGGAGCTTGCTGTCTGGGGGGTTGCCTGGACCAGCTTTGGGAGGCCTGTCCCGTCTGAGGCCTGTGAGGCTGCTGCTCCTCTCAGCAGTCTGGGTTTGCTGTGTCACGTCCTCTGAGGAGACAGGGTACTGGATATTCAGAGTTACACTTGGACAGCGGTTCTTCTGCTGGGGGTCTGGACCAGTAGCGTCAGCATCACCTGGGGGTTTGTTAGAAATGCAGATTCCTTGGCCCCACTCCAGACCTACTGAGCCAGGTACCCTGGGGGCAAGGCTCAGACATCTGTAGCTCTCCAGGTGATTCGGATACGCCTGCATGTTTTCCCCTGTCCCAGGGAAAAAAGCTCGACACGTCTCACCTACTAAGAGTGCTGTAATTAATATTGTCTGCTGCATGTTTAAAATATATTTTTAGTGTATAATTTGAGACCACCTCTCCTGTCAGTTAAATGTCCTACCTTTTCTCAGTGTCATTTCCCTTTAAGTTGCTCAAGTGGTCACTGCCCCTGCTTGGTACTCTGGTTACCTTGCTCTCCAACATGAATACTGAACCTTCTGTCTCTTCTGGGTTGGCCCAAGTACCAGTTTTCGCCTTTCTTTCTCTCCATTTCTGACTTCATGCTGGTGCTTTTACCATTATCTGTGTCCCACACTGGGGTCTCCACTTTCGTGGGCCCTGGGGGTGCTCAGGGCTCACCACGCAGGTGCTGTTTCAGCTTGGCACCTTGCACGGCTGGATTCCCGAAAATATCTGGAAAATGATGTTCCTGGTGCTTAATGGCATCTCCATGCAAATGGACTTCTCTGATCAGCAGTAAGAAAATGCTATTTAAAGGGCCATATTACTCATATGAAGTGTTGGGAACATCTAATTATTTTAAAGGATATTCATGGAAGATAATTGGGAAGATGTGCATTTAGGATGAATTCCACACTGAACGGTCAGTTTGGGGCTCATTGCCAGTTACAGTGTCCATTTTCATTAGTTAAGTTCAATAGTTTAATGCACTAAGCAGGTTCACATCTGTGGCCGCATTCACCGTGGAGAGAAAGGGGTTCAGTCACTAAAATCATGTTTGAATTTTGCTTGAAATATCAATAATAGCCTTTACTTTCTATGTTGTTCTTCTAATTTTAAAGTGACGTTTCCAGCCACGCAAGCCAAGTAGCACCAGCAGGTTAAGCACATAAAACATCAAACTAATGAACAGTTGGGTGCTTTCTAAACATCTGCTTTTGAGACAATAATTTCATATCTTGAATATGTAATACTTTTTTGGTGCTGGTATTAATATCTGTCAATGAATGTCTTTCTAGACTAATATTTTCTATGTATTTCCTTGCAGATTTAAAAAATATTCATTTGTACTTTTCAGTATACAGGCACCTGGTAAAAAAAAATCAAATAGTACAGACAGGTATTAAAATAATAAGTAAATTCTGTACTGTACTCACCCGCACACACGTGCTAAATCCCCAGTCTTTTTGTAAAAGTGTGACCACTGTTTATAGTTTCTTGTGTATCTATACAGGAATCAACAAACAAGCAAAAGAAAACCAAAAAAACAAAAAGAAAGCTAAAAATTCCAAACCCTTTATGCATGTGGACACAGTGCACACACTCACTGCCCCAGATGGGCTCACGCTATGGCGCTTGCTCTCTGCTTTGCAGTTTTGCAGTTCAGCAGGTGTATTTTGGAGATGCACATCTTCTCATTCTTTCAGTGCTGCGTAATATTCCACCCTGTGGATGTCCCCTAAGTTATTTAAACAGTGCCCTCCTGTAGACATTTAGGTGGTTTTCATTCTTCGTCATCACACAGAAAGTTACAGCCAGTGTTCTCATTCATATTTCTTGTACTTTTATGTTTGATTCACAGATAAAATCTTACCAGTAGAATCCTTGTACTAAAGAGTTTGTGCTTATACAATTTTGATGAACCTTTCATATCATCCTCCAAAGAGGTCGCCCCGGGTGGTCCTCTCTGTGACACCATCCTTGAGAGCCGTGTCACTAAACCCTGCCGTGTGGATGACTCGTTGCTGTGCTGGTCTCCTGGTGCCGCTGCAGACTTGACGAGGGGTTTCCCCGCCCCGTCAGACTCCTTCTCACGTATGCTTTTCACAACATCCGGCACAAAGGCAAGTGTCATCGCAGGTGCCTTTGGTAGCCTTTTCCACCCACCACCCTTAGGATTGACTGGCAAAGTGTTGCCACAAGACAACTGGGGAAACTAAGCATTTTTTTCAAGGTGATTTCATAGATGTTTGGTGTGTATGTGGGTGTTCTGGGCATAAAACCCCAAGCCATATGTAGGCTATAAAATTTCAAATTTCCTTCATAAAAATGCAAGTTTCTCAAATAAAAAAGGGAAATTTTATTTGACTAGACAGGAATGAAAGATGTGTTGTCTAGTTGTGTATATAAAATATCTGATGCTGAATAAATGTTAGTTCTCATTCTTTCCCTCTGCAGCACCTAAAAATCTACCAGTCCGCATCTAGTTAGTGAGTTATGAACGTTGAGAAATAGAAACATTTATTCTTAAGCATCTTAGAGTATTGCAGAATAAAAGAGAACTAGCTTATGCACCATGTAGACTAAGCTCTAAGACTGAGCTTCAGGGGTAGGGGAGATCATGGTGGGGCTGGAGTCTGACCTTGAAGGATGAAGGGTATCTAAGATGTCCATATTTAATGCTTGATTTCACTTATTTAAAAAATAAAAATATCTAATGCATATTTAATGCTGTTGTAACAAATGTCTTTTAAAATCCAACCTGGTAAAATGCAAAATAAGGGAATGCAAATTATTTGCTTAAAATGTCGGTGTTCTGTAGGCGGCAAACCTTGAGAGAGAAGAGAGGAGAAGGGTCAGAGCAGGGGCGTCTGGCCAGGGAGGCAGCGCGAGGCTGAGTGTGGGGCTGGAAGCAGCTGTGACACGTGTGACCGACGGTGGGTTTAGAATGGCTGTTGTGACTTGTCTGATGAAGCAGGTGTTGCTGTTGGCCGTTTTGCAGAATGAGTGTTGGGCTGGGGGGGTCAGGATATCTGGGTGATGATTTGCTGTGTGACCAAGGACAAGCAAGTCCTTTACCAGCCTAGGGCTGGGTTTCTTTCACAGAAGAGATGCTTTATTTCAACACGTCTAACTTTGGGCACATAATGAAATGGTGAGATGAGTGGAGTGCGTCTGGGTGGCCAAGCTCAGGGGGTCTTGATGGAAGAGCAGAGGGCGTTGTGCTTGGTACCGTGGCCCCCGGACTGGACGGACCCACAGGTGGGGGCCGTGGTTGGCTTCGGCTTGGGTGTCGTGTAATGAAATCTTTGTTGTAATATCCTCAAATAGATACTGAAAAAGTGTTTAGGGTAGGATTGCTTTAGTTTCTTATTTTTCAGTGGTATCTAATTTTTTGAGCATTTTGTTTTTCCCACACATGGCTGGGATCAATTTGCATCAGCCAGTAGAATACATTTGTACATAAACCATCAAAAGGAGATGTTCATAAAGGTATTTTAGATTTTTCCCCCCTTTTTAGTTATACGTCTTAGCAAATACTGTTTTGAAGTATAGCTGGGATTTTGTTTTGGTTCAGGTATAGCGAGGTGAACAGATTGAGAGATGGCTGCCGTTGAAAGGATAGTTTGTGATTCACGTTCCCAAGAGGAGGGGCGCGTCGCACCAGGCAGGGCCTGCGGGGAAGGAGGCGGCAGGGAGAGGGAGGAGCGTGGACAGAAGCCTCTACTGCACTTTTCTCGGAAGTGAGCGGGTGAGGCAGGGGAGCA